AACGGAGACACCCCTGTAAGATCAACACAAGCATGCTTCCCCCCGCTCCAACTGTAGACAAGAACGTCTGCCGGCCTTAGAGTAGATCTAGTCTCTCCAGGAGGAGTGAGGAAGTTGACCGGCGCTTCCTTCTTTGATGGGATCCCTGCTCTCTGGAGGATATCATACAAGACATCTCTGACTAAGTCGTGCATGTACTTAAACCCCGGCTGCTTCTGACAATGGATGGCATGCTCTCCAAAAGCATCCATCTGCATCCTACGACAAACTGGACACACTGTCCCCTCCACGAATAAAGGAACCAACAACCTGTACCTAAGGATGGCCTGGTATTCCCCCGGAGTCATACGCTGTCCCAAACCCTCAATAGGCGTGGCCAACAAGAAATCCTGGGCGTGCTTTGCCCGCAGGCACTCAACAATCGCAACCTGCCTCTCTGAAAGGTTAAACTCTGTCGATAAATCTCTACAAACACCACCATAAAAGATGTCTGCCAAATAACGCATTGGTTTTGGGGGGACAGACCCTTTAGTGGTAATTTGAAGAAGATCAACCTCAGGTAGCTTGGCTTGAAGAGAGGCCCGAGCGGTAGTAAAATGCTCACCTCTTCGAGCTTTCCTGTTTGTCTTTTCCAATCGGGCGACTGAAACGAGACTGCTTCGGATTCTGAACCTCCTGGGGATTCTTCTCTTTCGGTTTATTCACCGGCTGTCGTTGAGCCTCTTCGCCCGGTGTAGGACTCGTAATCACCCTTATCTCCGTGAGAGTTTTGGCTGGTCCCCGTTTATTCACCCCCTGCTCACTAGGTGGTGGATAATTGTAGTGATACTCATTTCCGCTTCTAGTGGCGAAGACTTCTTGTTCTTCTTCGGAGAGCGGGAAAGCAAACTTCTAGGATCTGGTGAGGGCCAGAATATTTCAGTTTTGGTTACATTGAGGTCCAACCCGAGTCTTGGGCCTTCAGTCTCGATCACCTTATATGCCTTAGCAATTTCCAAAGTATCCCCGATCAAGGACCCATCGTCCAAGTACCAAGCATGAAGAGCCAACTTGCACTCTTCCTGCACTCGTAGAATCAACGGGTGAAGCGTGAGTGCGAACAACAGAGGCCCTAGCGGGTCCCCCTGCTGGATCCCCCGAGCAGACCAAATGTGATCCACCCCCAAATACAGTCTAGCGGGCTGCACATATAGAAATTCCACCCAAGGAGAGATCGCCGAACACTTAAGGCGTACTTCCCGTAACATACTACTCCTGTCGACCAAGTTAAATGCATTCCGAAAGTCGACCAAAAGCATGGAGAGCGAGTCATCCGCATGGTGGACATCAACGAACCTATTAACCGCATACAAAACTGCTTCTGCCCCTCCTGAGACTCCCACGCCAAACTGAAAATCTCCCAAATAACTCACCATGTCATTCCCCACCTTCTTCATGGCCACTTTAGAGACGAGACGCCTCCAAATGGTACCTACCGCAATCGGCCTTATGCCCCCATCATTCTTCAACAACGGAGTAAGGGGAGCACTAGCAATAAACTCCGCCAAGGAGGCCGGACAACGCCCTTGCAACCACAAATTAACCACTGGAGTGAGAGCCGCGAGAAGGTCGTTAGCAATAGTGGACTCCGGACCACAAAGTGCATCTAACAAGTGCTGTGCTCGAAGGCCATCACGGCCACAAGAAGTCCCCTTAGGGAAGGACCGAATGCAATGGAGAAGTGTCTGGTGCAACTCCCGAGGACGTGAGGACCTTCACGGCCGCTGAATAGTGCCCGTCCGATATCTTCCTCAAACACTGTTTAACATTGTTAGCAGTTGGGCGAGCACCGGGGTCGTCAAGTCGGACCGAGGGGGGAGAAGGGAGCTCTCTGAACATGGTGTCAAGGAGTTTTTGGGGGCCTCCAACCTCACCCCAGGTGGACAATGCCTCCAAGATATGTCGTTGTTGAAGAGCCTTTCTGTTACCTGACCTTGAACTCTTGCGTGTTGGCCTTCTTGTTTTGATGATGATTTACAAACAATTTACTACTAATATTGTTTGTCTAGTGTTTTGTTAATTGGCATTTAATCGGATTAGATTAGCATAAGACCCTAATCACCCCCCCTCTAGGGTCTAACATTGCGATCATGGGTTTTAATAACCCTTAAAGTGCAACATGGCAAGATCAAAAGCCGTACCCAAATGTCACAAGATCGCGGGTTGGAGGACACCCCAAAGAGCGAGGCTTTGAGGGCAGCCGAGAACGCCAACCTACAAGATGGGGGAACACTTTTAACCGTTCGAAAACCCCAATTAAACACCCTTTGAAGTGAACTACTATCGAGCTTACAATGCTGTGGACCCAAGGAGGGGATAGGTGACACAGACTCGAGGATAGGAGGGGCGTAAGGCCGAGTGATACCCACAATGGCACACCCCGCATTGCCCTCGTCGTCCTCTAAAGGTGGTGAAACAGACAGTCCCATGCCATGTTTACAATGCTTACTTAAAGCACAGATCCTCAAGCACGTACCACACATCCATTGCCCCATAGCATGTAGGGTGGCCTCAAAAGCGTTGAAAATGGAGATGTCACGGCCTAAAAGCCTCTTGCATTCCTCGACCTTAGACTCCGAATTGAGATGATGTTTGCGTAAGTGTACAACCAAATACCCAGGGGTGAGTCCCCTACCCTCAGAGCCCCCTGCCACGCATCTGTCAAGTCCCTTGAGAGGGCAGCGAACAAAAAACTTCTGTGTCGCCTGAGGAAAAGACAGGATTAACCCTCCGAACTGTGGCCCTCCTCCTAAACTTTGGCCCTCCTCCTGAACTGTGGCTATGTATATAAAAAATTACACCGCCCGGCGATGCGAGGGTGGGCGATGGTGTCGGTGGGCGATATGCGGGCGATATGCAAGTTGGACGGGTTTCGTCGTCGTTGACGGCGACTACGATAGATGCTTCCAAAGAGCGGCGGCTCCCAAAGAGTGATGGCGGCAACCACGACGATATAGACGAACTGGATCTGGCTTCGTTTGGCTTCGTTCCCTTCGTTCCCTGATGGAGGCGGCTTGATGATTTTGAAAATAAAATTGAATAAAAGAAATTAGCTTAAGAAAGAATCTCCAGTGCGTGCTCCGGCTTCGTTCCCTTCGTTCCCTGTTGGCGGCGTCTTCGTTCCCTGATGACGGCGGCGTATTCGTTCCCTGATGACGGCGTCTTGACTTAGCATAAAAAGGACTTAGACTCGACAGGCGTGTGCCCGGGTTGGCCTAACCCGACCCATCTGTCAGGTTGGTGTCAATGGATCAACAATGTATTCTATTTTCTACATAATAATAATGCTAGGAATATCATTATCATTATTAGAGGGTCTTTTTTGTTTTTGTTTTTGCTTTTTTTTTTTTGTTGTTTTCTTTTTGTCCAGATAACCCAAAGTTTGAGGGTTGTTGAAAGGAGAAGTTTAAGTTGTTTAGCTCATGGATGGCATTTTGATGCATGTAAAAGATACTGCAAAAACCATACTTTAAGTATTAGTTGTTTGCAATTGTTGGTAATGTAGCCCAAACCTGTCAGCGGGCGTTCTCCAGCGAAGGCGAACTCGAGCTTTGGAGTTGC